AACTTTCATTTAACCCTAAAAGGAAAGTTTTCAGGTTAAAAAAAAGTTTGATCTTTTCATGAATTCATTGCTGCGTGACAAACACACTGTTAGCTTCCTCTTTGATTGTGATATCTCGTAATGCTGAAATTTTGTTTTAAATTTCAAAGTTTCATGCATTGGTATACTATTTATTGAGGGAACTGCGTTTTTATTCCCGGGACAGAGTGATCCAAGAATATTTAAAAAAATACTGCACGTATATGACGCGAAATGGACATTCAACTTGAGTTCACGTGATCCTTTTTTTTTTTCTCCATTGGATGCTCCCACTTTTCACCTGCTATTATTTTGAAGTTAACCCGAAATTTCCTATCGAAAGAAAATCAGGGGGAAATATACCTGAGCCCTATTTCATGGAGAGTTATTGGATGAGCAGCTTATATAGATATCACTTGCTTCAAAAGGGGGATTCCAGAAGTTTGTCTTCCCTCCTGAATTTTAGCCCCCGGGTTCTCGTCGGGGTCATTCGCAATCGCTGACGCGTGACTCGACCCCCGCGGGTTTTTTCCCTCACCCCATTCACCCGTTATTGCTTCCGCCTTGCACGCCGTTTCGACCTGAAAGTTTCTCTCTATACTCGACCCCCTCCGTCCGTATATATACTTCGAGTTTACTTCCTGGAACTCACCGGAAGAAACTGCAAATGCGTTTCTATCGCCTTTCAAAAGGAGCCGCCGTTGCTCTCTGCTTATATACATATGTATACAGTATATATACAAAAAAACGATATTCTTTGAGAATTTAACGGTTACTCAGCCCGTTTTTCCTTCTTTACCTGCAGCGGCAGTTCGACGCCGAGAGCTTCTCCATGAGTTGGGATCAACGGTTCGTGCTGTACGCCCACGACGTGGAAAAGGTCAGTGCTGGAAAGCTTAACTTTTCTTTCAAGATTACATTCTTGCGAAGGTTGAATGTTTGTGAAGCAGGTTTGTCCTCATTAGCTTAATGAATTCATTCAAGATTCTCATCATAGGTCACTAATTCAAGTGTCAGGTTTTGAAAGGATGGACGAGGAAGCGTGATAATTAATCAGCTTAGTATAGAACATCTCTGACTAAAATTTTGAGGGACCCGCAAAAATTCGAGGGAGGTTTTGGTTCATATAAATGCTTGACTTATGGGATCAAGCATTTTTATTGTGGGAAACATTGCAGAATTGCACGTTTACATTGCACATGATGATATTCTGAGCCTTGAATTGCTTTTAAAAGGAGTTGGCAGGATGCTGAAGTTGGAGACAAGGGTCCATTTGCCCAATTTAGTCTGTCACATCCATTCAAAGCACATCAAATTCTATTTATTTTTGCTTTTTTCATTCCCGTTTCTATAAAATAATAGTCAAAAGGCCTCAACAAGTTTGCTTATGGATGTCTTAGAGGAAAAGCCTTTGACCTTTATACCTCAAAGCCTTTATAAAGCCTTTGAGGTTTTTAATGCATTGTTTCTCAGGGAATTCGGATGTGGATTTTGAAAAGTTCAAATTAGGGAGGTTTGACTCAGCAAGGTTCAACTTTATAACGTCCCTGATAATAGGAAGTTTTCAGAGAAATAAAAAGGAAAACCTACACATCACGGGGAAACTTATGCTAATTTTTCTGCGGAAAGATGCACCATCATAGAAGAGACCAGGCTCTTTTTTTGTATTTTGATAATCAGTATAGTCATCAGCCTAAGAATTGAATTAGTATACTTGAGTAATTAGTGACCGCATTGCGAATCCGCTCTGGAATATGTGGCTTGTGTAATTGCCGTGAAGTTGTAATTAAAATGGCAACCCGGTTTCCAACACCGCCCTGTTGGATAACTTGGCTCGAGGATACTCAAAGACGGATCCTGTTTCCAGGGCCCACATGGCCGGGAATTGGCAATAGCTTCCTAAAACACTCCAAAAATGTTTACCCACTTGTTTTTCGTCTGCGGATATCATCAGGATCCGGGCTAACATCGTAGAACGTCCCAGAATGTAAACAAACTCTCTCGCGATCGCGTGTATAATCCTTGTCACGATAAAGGTTCTGTCTGAATCCTCTGCCAAATGTCTTGCCGTTACTGAAAGCTTGTCTCAATCTTCTCTTCATTTAGCTGAGCGTTTCCGGGAGTTCCCGGAAAAAGTGTGCTTACGCGGAAATGTTGCATGACCGTTTCCGAATCGCTTAAAGATTATTGCATACGAATAAATCTGAGTACAGTACACGTGGTTCAAAATAAAAACCCAATTTTTGACGCAAATGTTCTTCTTTTGGGGAATAGGAAAAAAAATTCGTGGGCAGGCGATGGGTATACAGTACACTTTTCAATTTCTACCTTCCCACTTGCGGGGTTCGTCGTTGCTCGAAACATGGTTTTGCATCAGTCATATTCTATTGGGAAAGCTTGTATATGTTGTTGGGATATTTTATTGTTTGCAGGAAAAATTATATTTTCAGATTGGTCTGTAATTTTTAATGAATTTCTGGTTTCAACGAAGAAAAAGGTATGCAGAAAATAAAATCCAACATCCAGGTACGCGAAAAAGCTGGAATTTTTGAATCAGCCTCCGTGAAGATTTGAGGAGCTGAACATTTTTGCCTTCCATCTTCGAAACTTACTGGAAATACACAGTATCGAACTTGCATGAGTTCAAATTCAGCTAAGTTCAAATTTCAATGCCTTCCGCATTCGAAAAATTGAATCAGAGGCTTATTTTGACGCGTTTAGTTTTATATGTGCACTTGACAGTATAATTTATTGTTGGGACATCGTTAATAATTCAATTTGAACCATTATTTTACGGATTTGCAATTCTCTGATTATGGCTTTTCTCCTTCCGTAAACCACGGTTTTTTAACATATCGGTGCTGGGTGACTTATTTCGACAGTCACATTGAAGGAGGATTTTATTTTGTTGTTGAAAATTTTAGTGTACGAAACGTAATATCTTGTGTGAGAATTTGAGCTACAGGATCAACAGAGAAAGAGTAAGTGTAAAAAAGTACGAATAATTTATCAACCGAGCCGTTTTTTGAGAGCCGTCTTGGCATTCAACCAGCAGCGTGTCTGTTAGCTTTCGATGTGTAAGTGAAAGTGTTCGATAATTTTTTTTCCCGCTTCAAGCACAATGTAACTGCTATTGGTTGCCAAAAGAAGGATGCTGAGTTCCCGTCCCAGGTTTCGATTTTGGCTGATAATGGCTTTACTTGGATCTTGGTCGATTTTATTTTTCTGTGCCACTCTTCCCCCTGGCAATTTCGCTTTGCCTTTTATTTGGATTGTAGCCGATGCTAGATCGGTTTTTTATTATTATTTCTGAGACTTGAATTTTATGAAAGAAATCAACGTTTTACGTGAGGACGAACCTCGATCCGCTCCTCGATCTAAATTTTTTGTTATATCTGAGTTTCGTTCTTGTGTGATTTCTGAGAAGTTTAATTTTAGATTCTAATGGAAAAAACGCATACCCAAAGGTTTCATGCATTTTAAACTGGATGATCATGCTTCTATATTGCCATGTAGAATTCATAGATTCTTAGGACGTGGTGAAAAAAAAATCGATCATATCATCGCCGAGACGCGTGCATCATGGAAAACTTTATTTATGTATTCTCGTTTTCACTATTCATCAATTTATTGATACATAATTCCGTAAGGGGAATTTTTTGTTTAGCGGACGAGGTTTGGAATGGGGCTTTTAAATGCAGCACATGCCGCAATTTTCGTCTTGTGACGGTGATAGGAAGTTTTCGGATACACGGGAAAACAATCGTTTCCCTTTTTCATTTTGAATGAATAATACGCCGATTTCTTCAGTATAATAATGCAGAAAAATATTATAACAATACTGTACTGTACTTCCTATTTCAGAATGGTATTTTTCGATTGGAAAGTAATCACCATAACAGGCGAATGATTTTTGTGCGCAGTGAACTTCGTTTTTACTTTTTTCACTCCTTGAAAAAATAAAAATCGCGAAAAATCAGACCATTTCAGTTATTTCATAATTTAATTCTGATGAATGACCAATTACTCAGTCAATTCATGCCTGATTTAAGATTGTATGATCGCCCAAGATTTACTGCAACACGAGTGATGTCGAAATTGAAATAGTTAATACTGTATTTCGAAATCGAAAATTGTGAAATGCTTCGATTCTTTGACCGATACAATATTGAAGAATGTATTGAAATTGTTGGATAATGCAATGAAAAAATCTGCAAAAATCAAAAATATGCACTAATTATAGTTTCCTGATGGACGAAAACTGAACTTGATAGTAGTTTATACAAAGCACTTTTGAATCAATGTTTTTTTTCACGCAGGAAGTTTTTTCAATCAAACAGAAAAGGGCTTTCACGAACATTAATAGGCAAAAACTCATTGTACTAACTGACAATCACAAAGCAAAAATTCAGATCAGAATAGATTCAAAACAAATTTCAGAACATACTCCGTCTTTCGTGAAAAAAATCAAGAGTAGAGGTAGTCCATGATGAAATCTGGGCCAGAAATCTTACTGAAATCAGATACGCGATGTAGTCCCGTTTGAAAACACGCGATTCCTTCCTGCTTTCAGAGGTTTTTTTTTTTTTTCACCGCACTTGGAGTGAATTACAATTCCTCATTGTAATTGAAGAGTTTGCTGCATGTTCTAAAACGAAATTAGCAGATGAAAAATGCACCGGAAATTCGTGTTTAACTAGCCCACGCATAGAGTCCTGTTGAAATTTTAACCACTACATACGTATATGCCAGATGAGATACGCAAATCGGCCACACAGAAAAAAAAAAAAGAAGTGGACGTCGCGGGCCGGAAAAATAATTTTACCTCAAGCTATAATGAAATGAATGCTCTCCAAACTCTACTTCCCGCCATTAAAAAAAAAAAAAAACTTCGCGAAGCCCGGGACTATTTTTTTTTTCTTCTGACGTGCAGGTTAATTGAAATCACGACTCGATCCCATTCGCATAGCAGCTGGTTAAACTCAACCCCGCAGCCCAATCATCGCGGCAACCCGGCGACATCTCTTGCTCACTCGTTTCTGCAGCATCGTAAACGCCATGGCAATAATCGCGAGACCCAGGATCAAGTACAGCACGACGAGAATCAGCGTCAATTCATTATCGCGCGCCGCAGCGATCGTGGACTGGCCGGGCACAAAGTCCCCGAACCCGATCGTCGTCAGGGTGATGAAGCAGAAATAGAACCCCTCCATGAACTCCCATCCTTCCAGCCTGGAAAAAATCCCTCCGCCGACGCAAACATAAATTACTACAATGCCCAGCACGAGCACGTACGGAACCGGATCGTCATCCTTATCGCGTCCGCCGCAACAACCCGTCGTCCGCCGCCTCAAATTAGTCGCCACTCTGTGCTGTCTCTCGCTGCTGCAACTCGATTTAGCTCTCGACTGCGGCTTTTCTCGCCTGGACATGGGCCGCAGCTCCACGAGGTGCTCTCTCGTGATTGCCCTGTCTTTGTTCAAGCAGTTATCCGAATGATCCAAGGAATGACGGCGACCACGCAGTGCGATGAGGTCCACGGGTCTCCTGGCCTTCGAAGACAGGAAGTTCTCCGACGTGGTTCTTCTCATCAGCACAGAGCCCTTCCGCTCGAATAAACGCGCTGTCGTGATCAGTTTGAGACTCGAGTGCGGACGGCCGAGTTCGAAAAACCCCGAGGAACCCGTCGGCGATTTCGCGGCCCACATCAGAGGAAGAGGTGCCAAGGCGTTCATCAAAACTTGAGCTGTCGGTGCCCCGAGCAGCACAGCATCTGCTGTTGTTGTTGTTGTTGTTGGATTCATTAGCAACGGGTTCGATGGGGATTTCGCCAAGATCATGATCGGAGCCGGTACTAACGCGTTCTTGAGCACGTTTCCGGAGGGGGCCCCGAACAGCGGGGGTTCGGTGGGATTCAGGTCGAGTGTCGGGGATCGGGTGATTTCCGTGCTGACGCGAACGCTGGCGTCCTGGGGCCCGTCGATGATCGTCACTGTCGGCAGAGGAGAGGATGGGGTGATTGTGCGCTGGTGTTGATGACGACGTTTGCAGCCGCAAAATAATCGGGTGTAGATCAGAGTCAGGACCTTGCCCAGCAATGAGCCAATTTTCGAGAGCCAGATCAGCATGAGTGGGATCCCGAATAGGGCGTACAGGATCGTGCACAAACGACCTTCCGGGGTTTCTGGCGTCATGTTTCCGTAACCTGCAATTTTTTTCGAGTAAATTTGGTTCATGTCCGTTAGGAAAATGAATATTGACGCTACAGAGATGACATACATTTTTTATTTATACTGTATCGAAGATTAAAAAAAAGTAGAAAAATTTTGGTGTCACTGCAGCGGATGTTTAAAAGGGTAATCACAATGAAGTCGGTGATCATTTTAACTTATTTCGAAGTTCTTGGTTTTGGCTGTATTATCATGACCATTAGTGATGATTCGAAGATGAACTGCGCATGTGAAAATTTGCCTCAAGACTTTTTGCGTTTACTTTCTGATGCTGACAAATTTATAAAGTCTTGAGGCTTGAAAAACAGTAGTACAATACTTTTCGTGTCTGTCGTGCACTTTTTTCCAGCCAATCCGCATCCCGTATCAAAACAGCCACCGCACAATTTAATGTTTTCGGGGATCATTTGTATCAATTCTACATTTCCGGTACCATTTTTGACGCAGGAAATAATAATTGGAAATTGTTTCCAATTATGTAATTGTTCAACCTGTTCGTTAAATTATGGAAATTTCGTTTAAAATCTGAACTGTTGCTTTATAATACTCATGGAACTGGATGAATAAAATTAGCTTCTTGAGTTCATGTTGCTGGATCTGCGGATACGTTTTTTAAATCAAAGCGAAAAAAAATTAAAAATTTAGGTGCCACTGCAACAGATATTTAAACATAAAACCACAGTTTATTTATAATCTGTAAATTATTCTAAAAATCACGATTTTGGCTGTATGATTATGACTACAAGTGATGATCTGAAGATGAACTACGCATGTGAAAATGTGCCTCATGATTGTTTTGTGCTTACATCCTCTAGTTCAAATCTGAACCTTATTTCCTATAAAATAATCACGAAACTGATAAATTAAAAATAAAGGCATAAGAAATCCGATTTTCATTCATTTTTTCCATTAGCCATGATGTTTAAATCAGTACAGATGGAGCCACAATATCACAAGGATAATTTGGGAGGTGATTAAACAAGCTTCAATTATTGGATTAAAATGTTTTCTATTTAGGTGAAACTGCCAGGAAGTATCACGTAAAAATTGATCATCCTCTTTTCGTTTGTTTTGGTGGATTGACATTGGCTAATTTCTCTGAATAAAGACGCTTCAAATTTAAAAAAAATAGAGCCTCTCTGGAATAATTCATTCCATAGAATAACGTTTGACGACATCTAATGGGTTTGAATTCATTGCCGACCCGAAAAAGAGCTAACCCAGGTAGTAATTTTTTCTTAGTCCCATACCAAGATCATAATGAACATTACTGGGTCCTAAGGTTTTCACATGAGATGCTGTGATCCTTTAGTCAAGAGTTTGCAAAGGAGGAATCACTTACCGATCGTCGTGATCACCGTGATGGAGAACAGCAGAGCAGAGCTGAATGTCCACAGGGGTTGTCCAGTTTGTGCCATTACAGCTTTCCATCGCATGCCCTTGGACATGCTGGCATCGTACATTTGCTTCTTGACGAGTTTAGCCACAACGGTGTTGTTCCTATTGATGGCCTTCATGGCCCCATTCTTGAAAGTACCGCAGCATTCGATGCATTGCTCCACACACAGCAAAACCGTGTCCAAGTCCGTCGTCCCGACGCACACTCGATCTTTTTCGCAGAGAAACGGTTCATGATGGTCATCATCGTAGTTTTCGCGACGGGTACCCGGGGGTTCTGGCGTCAACGATGGACGGTTTTCCAGGGATTCGAACAGGAATGCACCAGCAATTGAGTAGCCCACTACCAGGATGCAGAGTCCGACGTGAGAGAACAAGTTTGCGAGGAATACTTGAAACCAGTGCTTGACCAATTCGCAAGAGCACTTTTGTTCCGAGTTGGACGCTGCTGAAGGGGTTTGAGGCGAGGGTAACAGCTGGGGGCCCGGGGTTGGGACTTTCCTCTGTCTGGTTCTTCTCATTTCGCAAGTATTCTTGAAAGCGTTTTACGTGGGCACATTGTGGCTGCTGCTGCTGATGGTGGAAGAAGAAACGCGTTGCTTTCAATCCTTGAGAAATAGATTATAGGATAAACTCTTTTTTATTTTAGAAGATCTTTTCAGTTTTTTCTGGAGAATTTGTTCTTAAGAACATTTTGATAATCTTCAGTTCAATATCGCTGGATATAGCACGGCATATTTTTAGCATTCATACTTTCCTAGCCAGCGGCTGAAACCTTTTAGTGACAGATGTCTTCAAATTTAAATGGACCTTTTCTCCACGTTTCGTTTACAAGTTCGTATTTTATTTGACTTTTGGGTAAGTGCTACATATTATTAAGCATGTTTTTCACCTGAATTTTCCGCTACGTCCAATCGGCTGAGTTAATTGACATTTTGCATTGACGTGCATCAATCATGACATCCGATTACTCATCGTGATGACTTGGAGCATTGAAACATTTCGTATATGCAGCAGGAATTGAAATCGGAAAAATTCAACTTCTGTATACTCATTTTAGATTTTTTTGAATAATTTCCAATTTGGGAAGTTAACATTTGGAGAATTTCTACACAAGCTGTCTCCAAAATATTTTAGATTGGCTTGAAGTAGTATTATTTGCATGTTACAAAGACATGGAAAATTGTCCACGTTTTATGAAGATCAAATATACTGACGAAAAAAAATGATTTGAATCCCTTTCCGAACAAGAACAGGCCTCAAGGAATTATTTTGGGAGCAACTTGCTCTTGAGGGCAGAATCATCAGAGAAAATTGCTTCGACTTCTGTACGTATATAAGCCTTGGTTAATTTTGATTCACGGGATCAAAGTGCTCATCAGTACGTAACATGTCGCTTCAGCACTTCCGATATTAAAATTCACCAAATAGAATCCACACACCTAATGACCTAACACAGGGCCGCTAATTTTTATTTTCTTGTAGCACTGCATTCCAGTGAATTAAGAAACAGATAGGAGTGACATTTTCCGGATAACCCATTTTCAGAATTTCGAGGACCATGTTTTTTTTTTCTCGCGGACATGCAGGTGCGTGTAACAAGAGTTCAGAATGTGGGCGTCAGTCCAGGAATGCTGGCAGGATTTATACCGCAAATTTCCGGGGCCCCCCTCAGGCATGATGTTTTCACCAAAACACGTGTCAACGTATCAATCTCATTAATTCAAAGGGTCATACTTGACATATTCACAGAATTTAAGGACCTACCTCGGCTGATTTCAGGTGATGATAAAATTACCACGTGGCATCATTTGGAGAGGTTATTTGAATACGTTATGCCACTTTTTTAATTGATGAATCTAATCAGATTGAAAGACTTAGAAGGATAGAAAAAGATCAAGTTGTTAAACATGTCTACTTCGGGTTAATTTGCAAAAGTGCAGAAAGTGGGAGCTAGCATTTTCAATTCCTGGAGACTTTTTTGTGGCTCAATTTTATTGCACATTCAAGAGGTGCCGTGAAGATAAATTTGGTACATTTTTTGGGCCATGAATACAAATGTCTTCGGATTCTCTCTTTTTAATCTTAGATGGGGCCTTATGCATAATAATTGGAATGTTGTCGCTGCACTGTATATAGTCAAGAAGGAGCATTCTTGGGTACTTTTGCGCATGGGGTTTAATTGACTAACCCTAAAAAAACGCGCAATTTGCAGGAAGCAAGAGAATTCGGATTCAGCCTTGGTTGGAGGGTTAACAAACTGTGGGTTGCCAGGCTGAATTGCAGATAGTGGGGATGGGGGCTATTCATACTATTTAAAATTGAAATAAATATTCCAAGTTACTTTCGCAGTTGCTGAAAAATTTGTAAGGTGCCAATTAACACCCCCAGCAATTTTGGATGCCTTCAGTCGCACGAAACAAAAAAATGTTTCAAAAACCTGCTGTTTTAATACTGTCCTAGATTTTCCATGAAATGGGCACAAGTTTTCATACGTTCCTTCCCTGGAATAATGTCGTGACAAAGGTTCATATTTGAAAGGAACAGGCTTGTTTTACTGTTTTAGTGTGCGGAATTTTTTCTGAAAACAGAGGAAGTTCAGAAATTACGAGTCTTTGTTAATTGGCGCGTCCCGGGACGCGCCTGTAAACAGCAAATTATCCCTCCAACAGGGCCGTAAAACCAAAGTGTCACAGCCCTACAAAAAATTGCCGATAATAAATACAAACCCATCTTTGGGGCCAACGACTTGCCCGAGCACCAAATAACCCCCATCCCAACCATTTGTCGAGAAGATCAAGTGTCTTGAAA